GGGGGGGGGGTGGCTGGGGGTCACGGGGGGACGAGAGACTCTCGGGGTCCATCTAAGAAGAGTCTGCCCAGAGCGGGATTGTCTGTTCTTCCAGAGGGTCCTTTGTGACCGGCACGGCCCGGCCAGCAAAGGACACTCTAAACTGGGCAGCCCAGGGGCAGGGAGGAACTTGCCTTTGGATTTTCCTGGGATGTCTGTCTCCTCTTGGGAAGGTTGGCGCCCCGGCTCCTGACTTTTGAGAACAAAGGCCATGATGTTATGACGGGACAGGGCAGGGCTGGCCTCGGGGCCTGGGGTAGACACTGACACCAGGAGAGACCAGCCTCGAAAGTTTGCAGAGGCCCAGCTGCTCCCAGAAAGGCTTCCCTGAGCCTGTCTACACAGAAGAAGGGCAGGGCTGCCACAGCAGCTGGCACGGGCCAGGCTGGGTCTGAGGAGGGCCCCATGCCCCATACTGGGCTGCGCACACACACGTACGTGCGACACGTGCCCGGGGTTGGAAACGTGGGTTCTGACCGTAACTGTGTCGGGACAGTGGCACCAAAACTCAGCTCCCTTTCCATCCCAAAGATGCTAGAATCGTCACGGAGCCAGGCGGCTTGGAGCCATCCTGCCTTGTGGCTACAGGTCTGTCCATTCACAGACAGGGACGGGGGAGAGGACCTATTCAGAGCTGCTGGGGACTCTCTGACCGCCCCCCTGAGAGCTTAATTAACTTTCCCTCTGGAGGGAGTCTAACAACCCAGTTGTGCAGAACTGACCAGAAATCTGGCCCCTGTGTTTTAGGCCAGGTCTCCTAAGATAGGGTCCAACTTGTCTCTCTGAAGGGTGGGTGGTGGCCAGGGCCTGCAGATGGATGGACCGGGAAGACCAGACAGACGCACAGACAGATTCACGAGCACACGCACACACGCGCACACACACACACACCGCACTTTGCCAGGATGAGCCTGGACCCCGGCCACTCCGTGTGAAGCCTGAAGTGTCCGTGGCCATCACTGAAGGCCTTGGCAGGGGTCCTGGGGCTCTGAGACCCCGTTCCAACAGGTGCCGAAGAGGCGTCTTCCACACAAAGTCCTACCGAAGGGTTCGGGTCTCAGTCTGGTGTTAAGAATGGATTCACCACCCCACCTCCCCTAAGTAAACCTTGGTTCTCTCTGGCCCGTCATCCCAGGGTCAGCGGGCACCAGCGTGGGAGGAGGGCTCAGGCACCGAGGCACAGCCTGCCCGTGCCAGGTCTCTGTCCGGGGCTCCAGGCAGAAGAGCAGGAGCCCCCCCGCCCCCCCCCCCCAGAGGGCCTATAGCTCCAGTTAAGTGGGGAAGAAGGTCAGAGTTTGGAGGCACAGCCCAGGTCGCTTAGGAAGGAAGCTTGTGGGAACCGTAGGAAAGAGGAGGGCCAGGCAGCGGCCTAGTTCTCAGGCAGCAACTGTGAAGGGCAGTGACTCTTGTCACAGAGAGACCCCCTGTCTGCAGTTAATGACCCACCAGGCCCCAAGGCTAACTGCTCAGAGGGGCTGGTGTTCACATAGCCACCTGTCTTAATCTCAGCTCAGAGCCCTTGGAAGACGTCCCGTGAGGGGTTGATGGCAGGGCTCTCGCAGTGACAGAGCAACCGGAAAGGCCCGGACCTCCCACACCCAGGCTGTGGCCCTATCCTCTTGGTCCACATCAGCTTTAATATTTATTAATGACGACGTCAGGAGCCCTGGTCAGCTCCGAAGGCCGTTACCTCGCACTCTGGGCAGGCCACGGCCACTTGCCACTTTGGGAGAGCCGTTCTAAGATCGCAAGAGGCCTGCCATTTGCTGTCCTAGCCCGGAAGGCAGGCAGACTGCATACCAAAGACTCCACACTGCGGCATCACCCCCGGAGGGCAGTTAGAATAAGGGAAGAAGGTTCCCTGGTCGCTGCTGGCAGGCCCGTGCTCAGAGGGGTGTTGAAGCGCCTGCTCGGGGCCATTGGCCTGAAAGCAGAGGCACCCGGCAACCCCAAAGCCAGTTCTGTCTCTGGCTGTGGGAGACATGTCACCTGCGGTCAGACTGGCCTCCCCAACGCGCGAGCTCCTCTCGTGCTGGCCCTCGGCCACGGCAGAGCCCGTTCTGGGGGCGCAGACGCGTCCGACCCTGAGCTCCCCCCACACCACTGACAGGCGGCCTGCCCTCCGTGGCGGCTGTCGACAGCATAACGCTGTGCTTGCCTCAAACTAACGGGATCGTAACTTGTCCACACGTGATGAGGACCACGGGGAGGGAGGCTGGGCGCAAGCTTCCACCTCGTGCTCTGGAATAAAAAGCTCTTTGCTCGACCTTGGTGGCTGGAGTCTCCTGTCTTCGGCCGAAGATCCCGGTCAAGATCTCTGGGCAGTGTCCTCCCTCTTAGGGCAGCTCGAGGGCACCTCTAAGGAGGTCCCTTTTCTCCATTCCCAGTGTGGGACACAAGTGAATGTCACACACAGGCACCAAGTGATGCATGGAGAGTTGCTCCTCAGATCTCTCTGGGTCATCTCCTGGGTGGCATTTCCAGCAGAAGGAAAACTTACCTTTTTTTTTTATTTTTATTATTTGTTTAATGTTTATTCATTTTTTTTTTTAATTTTTTTTTTCAACGTTTATTTATTTTTGGGACAGAGAGAGACAGAGCATGAACGGGGGAGGGGCAGAGAGAGAGGGAGACACAGAATCGGAAACAGGCTCCAGGCTCTGAGCCATCAGCCCAGAGCCTGACGCGGGGCTCGAACTCACGGACCGCGAGATCGTGGCCTGGCTGAAGCCGGACGCTTAACCGACTGCGCCACCCAGGCGCCCCCAATGTTTATTCATTTTTGAGAGAGAGACCAGGGGAGGAGCAGAGAGAGAGAGAGACAGGATCCGAAGTGAGTCCCGTACTGGCAGCAGAAAGCCTGATGTGGGGCTTGAACCATGAGATCATGACCTGAGCCAAAGGTGGACGCTCAACCAACTGAGGCACCCAGGCGCCCAGGAAAAGTTACCTTTCATGCATTTATCGAACAACTACTGTATGCCACAGAAGTGGGCATTTGGGGCAAGAGTGCCCAAGGTTGACGGGTTTTGACTTTAGAAGCCAGGCCACTGCCCCTGAATGTCATGCAGATTGCACACTAAAAGACACTCATTCAACACATGACTCTGCCAGAATGTGTCTGATAGGGTTACAACCTCTGAGAGAGGGGCGGGGCGTCCTGAATAAGGCTCAATAAAGAAGCCCGACCAGGGAGACTGAGGGGCTCAGTCGATTGAGTGTCCGACTCAGCTCAGGTCATGATCTCACAGTTCGTGGGTTTGAGCCAGCGTCATGCTCTGTGCTGAGCCTGCTTGGGATTCTTTCTCTCTCTGCCCCTCCCCTGCTTGCTCTCTCTCTCAAATAAATATTAAAAAAGAGAAAAAAAGAAAGCCCAACCTCTCAAGAGGCCCTTGACCCAGGAAATTCAGAGGATCAGATGGCTCCCCAAGGGCCCACGTGATGCCCAGCACAAGATACTTTAAGAAACTTGTTGGCAGAAAGAAGAAAATGACCCAGGGGACCACACAGTCATCTTGAAGCAGTCTGAGTTTTAATTAAAAGCATACTGATCATCTGTGCTCTGGAGGGCACAACACCAAGGAGCACCTTCAGTGAACAAAAAAGGGCGTTCAGTCCACACGAGGAGGTACCTCCTCCCGGGAAGACGAACCTGCCCCCCACCCCAGAACAGACCCCTGCTCAAGGGAAGGGGGACCTGCTGGCCACGGGGTCTCCCTCCCCTGTGCCTGCCCAAGTCTCCCAAGCTGGGCCGGCCCACGCCCTGCAAGAGCCCGTCTGCAGACCTGGGAGCCTCAGGGTGGGCTCCTGAACAGCCTGCTGGCCATGCTTCCAGACCCACTGGGGCACGGGTGGGCAAGGTGGGAGGCTTCAAGTGGGGTGCCCCTTGGGGGGTATCTGCTTTACCCCAAGGTCAGGAAAGGGCACCTTGTTTGTTTTTTAATGTTTATTTTGTTGAGAGAGAGAGAACGAGTTAGGGAAGAGCAGAAGGGGACAGAAGATCCCAAGAGGGCTCTGAGCTGTCAGCACAGAGCCCGATGCGGGGCTCAAACTCGCGAACCTTGAGATCAAGACCTGAGCCAAAATCAAGAGTCAGCCGCTTAACCGACTGAGCCACCCAGGGGCCCCCAAGGGGCACCTTGTTTAAAATGCTCTTCTCCCAGGCTACTCAAAGTTGGAATCCCCTTGACTGACCTGATCTTTCTGCACCCTGAGGTGGAGGCCCCCAGGGTCCCAAAGGCAGCGTTAGTCCCGGGGAGCAGTGGATGGGGAGGACCCAGGGGTACTGGAGTAAATGGTACTTGCTTGGCCGAGAGGGGCTGGAGCGTAGAAGATGGAACCGAAGCAGCAGATCCGGCAAATTCACAAGCCGGCCTGGGGCCCCCACCCGTGGCCGTTCCCACGTCAGGCCTTCCTGCAAAGGGGAGCATGTCCCTTCATTCAATGCAGATTCCCAGCCTCCACCGCTGGGGGCAAGGGCGCCGGTCCAGGACGCTGCCTGTACGCGCACCTCCAGCTGATCTGCTTGTGAAAAATACTGCATTTCAGGAGCAGTGGACACCTGTGTACAACTTGGATCAGTCTCTGAGAGCGGTTGGGGCCTCCACGAGTCTTGGGGGCGGGGAGGGTCTGGAGACTGGGTTTGTGCTGGAAAATTCCTGGGAGAGGGAGGAAAGGGAGGGAGGGGGCGGGCCCCTACCCGACAGGGTCTCCAGTTTCTCTCATCTCGCTCCGGTG